CACCTCCTGAAATCAGCGCTATTCATGGCTTGTCAACGTTTTTGATAACTACTCGTGTTGAGGACTGCACTTATTTCTCCTTTTGCTTCAAGAAAAGTACTAATTAGAAAGGGCTCGGTTCCACCTAGAACGGGTTTGGTTTGTCCGCTCTCTCTGCTTTCTTCTGAACTCGCTTGTGTTTCCTTCGCATCGTTTGCAGGGGTGTCTCTCTGGTGTAAAACAGCTGTTCTTCAGGTCTGGAGCAAGGCACTCTCTGAGCAGCTGTCCCGTGGCTGGATACAGATCTGGGAGCCCTGATATGAAGGAGCGATCCAGTCTTTACAGTGTTGCTTGCAGAGCAGAGCTGCTTTTAAGTTTGAACCTTTGTACCTCTCTGTGGACTCGGTGTTGCAGGAAACCCTAGTAATGCTGCTTTTTTTCCCCATTTATTTTCTGACAGATGATTCAAGAGAGCAGGGTTCTCATCGAGACGGCAGACATCACTCATGACAAGATTGTGCAGTGCCAGAAAGCAGGTAATCGTTCTTTATTGGGCAGTTCTGGATGGGAGATGGGAAACTATGTGCCATAATTTACTTACAGTTTGTGACTAGTGCGGCATCTTTCGTCTGGTATTTAAGTGAGCATCCTGGTCTTTCCCTGGCAGACTCCACCCTCCTGAAGGCTCGTCCCCCAGTAGCAATGCAGGCGTGGGAACAAGGAAGAATCCTCAGCTTTCACCGTAAAAGCTATTTCTCCATCTGTTCCACAGCTCTGAAATGTCTGACAGCATTTAAATTAGTCAAGTGAACTAGAAAAGCATTCAATTAAGAAGAGGGAGTGGGAAGGCGTGCTGCATTGACTGAGCTCCATTCCCTACCACAGTCATTCTCTTGAACACAGAGGACACAAGAGGTTTTGAAACCCACAGGACCAAGCTCGGTTGCCTGCCTTTACTTACTTTCGCTGTTTGGGTTTGTTTTAGACCTCGGACGCTTACGCCAACGTAATTCCATTGTATCATAGTGAATCTGTGTGGCTATGGGTTACGTACGTCAGGTATACGGGCGCAAACCACTGTGAGTAGGCTGGAAGTAGGTGGTATCAATACAGTTTATCAATATGGTATCAATGCAGGCTGAGGGATGAAGGGATGGAGAGCAGCCCTGCTGAGAAGGACTTGGGGCTGCTGGGGGATGAGAAGCTGGACATGACCCAGCAACCTGCACTGGCAGCCCAGGAGCCAACCGTGCCCTGGGCTGCATCCCCAGCAGCGTGGGCACAGGGCGAGGGAGGGGATTCTGCCCCGCTCTGCTGAGACCCCCCGGGAGCCCTGCGTCCAGCTCTGGAGCCCTCAGCACAGGACAGAGCTGGGGCTGTGGGAGCGGGGCCAGAGGAGGCCCCAGCAATGATCCGAGGGCTGGAACCCCTCTGCTGGGAGGAGAGGCTGGGAGAGCTGGGGCTGCTCA